CGACACCATGTTTTCATTCTATCAGATGAGAATATCGAACTAAATTTCCTGGACGTTATCTGCATTCCAGGGATATCTTCGATCTGGTATCGGTCCTTCCCTAGCGCTTTCGTTACGATATAAGGGCCTCGGTATTTTGGCTCGAGTTTCCAAGACTCCCCAGTGGCGGATGGTTCGTTTTCAACGACAACGAGATCACCTTCATCGTAAATCTTTGGATTACGGTGTCTCGCATCAAAACGCTGCTTCCATTTCTCACGTTCGGCGGTTATATTTTTGACGGCTTCTTCTCGCTTTTCGGCCATAGATATAGACGGTTGCAAGTTATGGTCATCGTTATGTAAAGCTGCCAACATTTGGTTTTGAATAACGTCACGAAGTCTAAAATCAAAAACGAGCTCATTTGGGCAGAACCCGGTCGTTGAATTTTTCTGGGTGTTAACGGTCCATTGAAGATCTCTCAATCTTTTGGATTGTCCGTCGTGGTGCGGAGAAAGGTAAGTATTTGCTGATTCGCTCTCTCGACTTGGCCATTTGATCGAGGAGTACGGACGGCTGTCTTGATATGCTGGACGTTGTTCTGCGTGCAATAGTCTGCAAACTGTTTGGACGTAAATGCGGTCCCTCGGTCGCTGACGATGATTGTTGGAAGTCCGAAATAACCCGACATCTCGTTTAAAACGTTGAGAACGGGAGATGTTTTGGTACTACGAACAGCTTTTACAACCAAAAACTTGGAAAAAGCATCGGATATGGCCAAAACGTAAGAGTTGCCTCCTTTACTTCTTATAAACGGCCCAAGATGGTCGATATGAATAAGCCTAAATGGTACTGGTTCAACACTGTCGTAATGAAGTCGGCCCTCAGGCTTACCTTTCTGAGACTTATTGTAGCAACACTCAACACACGCTGCAATGTAGTCTTTTACGTATTTTCGTACCTTAGGGAACCAAAAATTACGCTGTATGCGTTCTATGGTTTTATCTAGTGCAAAATGCCCAGCATCGTCGTGGCAAAGCTGAACAACTCTCCACCTTACCGCTTTTGGAACCACAAACTTTAGCCCCTGGTTAGTAAGTCGGTGAAGTCGATGGTTTTTTAATTCGTATTCGGTTTTGAGTTGTTTGTCGTGTACAGATTTCTTTTCGTCGTGTAATACTGCTATTATTTCCCGTAGAGACTCGTCTTGTAGTTGCATGGTGAATAACCAGTCATTCGTATCGGCCATAACCCGCATTACGAATCCTGCTGGTTCGACATCGGTTGGCGGTTCATTTGGTGATCGGCTCAGAGCATCAACGTGGGCAAGACGGCTTCCTTGTCGATGTACGGCTTCGAAATTGTATTCAAGCAGTTTTAACCACCATCTCGCAATCTTGGATTTAAGCTCTTTGTTACTTTTTACACGCGCAATTGCAGAGCAGTCTGTTACTAAACGGAAATGTTTACCCAAAAGGTAAATTCTAAAACGCTCAAGTGTCTCAACAACAGCTAGAGTCTCGAGCTCGTAGCTATGATAGTTTCTCTCGGCTTCGGTGCAATGGCGGCTATAATAAAATACCGGCTGTCATGTCTTACCGTCGATGGACTGCAGCAATACCCCTGCGAGACCGACGCTGCTTGCATCGGTATGCACCTCATGTTCGGCGGAACTGTCGTACAAAACCAGCACGGGTCTGTTGCATAAAATGTTTTTGAGTTTCGTGAAAGCTTTTTCTTGTTCACTTCCCCAAATAAAGTTCGTTGCGTCCTTACGCAGTAGGGATGTTATTGGTTTCGACATCAGTGAATAGTCTTGGACGAACTTCCGGAAAAATCCTGTCAATCCAAGGAATCGCCGAACTTCTGTGATAGTCGAGGGCGTCGGAAATTGCTTGATAGCAGCAACCTTCTGATCACCAGGTGTGATCCCCTTCTCGTTGATAATGTGGCCTAAATACATAAGCTCTGTGGCCAAAAACTTACATTTTGACAAACGTAAAGTTAAGTTGCTTTCGCGTAATAGTTGAAAAAATTTCTCCAATCGCTCTAAGCCTTCGTCTATGGTTCTACTTGGTATTATCACATCGTCGAGATATACCAAGACTTCGCCTGGATTCATCTTCGATGCAACTTCATTCATCACTTCTTGGAAAATAGCGGGAGCGTTAACTAGTCCAAATGGCATTCGATTATACTCGAAGTGACCATCGGTAGTGACAAAAGCGGTATATGGTTTCGATGTCTCGTCAATTTCGATTTGGTGGTACCCCATTCGCAGATCGAGTGTCGTGAAATATTTGTTCCCGGCAAGTTGAGCAAATTGCTCCTCCATCACCGGCATCGGATAAGGGTTTTTGACTGTGATCTTGTTCAAACTACGATAGTCAACACACAGACGGTGCTCGCCGTTCTTTTTCTCAACTAAGACAATCGGTGAGGCATAGGGAGAGTCTGAATGTCGTATTATGTCGTTTTTAAGGAGCTCTGATACTATATCAGAAACAATCTGACGCTTAGCAAATGCTATTCGATATGGCTTCATACGTACGGGTACTTCCGTTGTTAATTGTATTCGCATTTTATTTATTCCACACTTACCGAGTTCCGACGTAGTTTCAGCAAAAACTTGACGATGAGTCTTCAAAAGTGTTTTTACTTTTTCGTCCAAAGAGGGCGGACTACGCTGATTTTCAATGTGACATTTGTCCCCATGAATAACTAGCCGTTTGTCATCGCGACATAACACATCACGGCCCAGCAATATGTTTTCAGGAATTCTTTCCTCGTCGACTACTAACAAATCAATATCGTATTCGTATCCATCAATGTTTATAATAGCTTGAAGTTTAGACGTACATAAATATTTTCCTCCCGCGAAACCATTTAACTCCTCCGAACAACCGTTTACGCGACCATTTACCCGTTTAGCAAATGTTTCTCTAATAAGTGTGCGAGTGCTACCCGGATCTACAAAGGATCGGGTTTGCTGTTCGTTAATCTTAATTTCTTTTGTTACATTTTTATTGGAAACGTTTTCATCAATTTTATTAACCGTGCCACTTGTCGTCTTAGGAATATTTTTATTAGGGCACTCGTTGGTTTTGTGCATAGTACGATTACACACTGAACATCTCTCTTTACGTTGGGGTTCAGGACACTGTGTGGCGTAGTGACCTAACTTCGAACAATTGAAATATTTTACCGATTTCGCGTTTGAAGTTTTGATGTCTTTTGTTTTAGTGTCTTTGTTAGATTGTATCGCGTTCGTATTTTTGGGGTGCGTATTAACATTTCGTATTTCATTATAAGCGATATAATTGTTTATATCGCGTAAAAGCTCATTACACATAATGTAGTCATTAGAAATTTTCTTTTTTAAGTCCGGTTCGTTTATACCATTTATGATGTATCGTGCAATCGCGTTTTCAGGTACACCACCTCTAGTACCTAAAGCTAACATCTTATAATAATACTCGCGCGGATTTTCGTTTTGTAGTCGTTTTGTTTGAGACAATTGTATATGAATGTCTGCAACATTTTCGGTTGTCACAAAATCGTTCAAAAACTTTGATACGAATTGTTGCCACGTAAAAAATATTTCTTGGGAATCCACCCAGTACTTTGCATAACCACTTAGTTTTAGTTGAACCGCGAAAACTAAAGTGTGATCATCCCAACCATAAGCGTTGCGTAACATTTCGACGCGTTTAACAAACTGATGCGCGTTTAATGATTTTTCATTCGACGGATTGAATTCGGGTAGAAGCTTTACCATTTCACGTACGTTACCAAAAGGATTTTGCGTTTGAGGCGTTATAAACGTTGGTGTATTATTTTGACAATTAAACGCGACTGGTTTCACATTCTGTGTATTACTTGTTGGCATGTAATTTGTTGACGTACCGTACGCCTGCGGTGGTTGTGATACCACTGGTGCAGACCAAAACGCTGGTGTAGGGTGCACTTGTTGAGATATAGTCGACGTTGGCCAAAATGTCGTTGTACGGGGATCCCCTTGATATGGAATCGATGTTGTTGGTGCGAGCCAAGACGTTGGCTGAACATTTGTGACATATTCTACGCCAGCATTCGGCAGTTCACTCGTAGTGTAAACTATGTTTGTATTAACCGGCGACGAAATTCTCGCAGGAACAAAACTTTGCGCGGCCGCCAAAGTTACATTTTGGTTTTGTTTTTGCGAATCATATTCCGCTAGGGATTTTTCTAGAACACTCACGCGTTGCCTTAATTGGACAGAATCGTCTTTAGCACTGTCAAATGTTTCTTCTATCTCGTCCTCTAAACGCCTTATTAACTCGTTCTTATTACCACTAGTTGGCAATCCCGATTTTCGGCACTCCTCACGTAATTCGTTTATTTTTAGGCGACGAAAATTTTTCATTTTTGCAGTAGCTTCCGTTTTTATCAAATCGTATAAAATTTATTATAACCGTTTCGTATATTAGCTTGTTTGCTTTCGTTTTGATTAAATCGTATTCAAGATCGTTTTTAAATCGTTTAAAATACTAGCACGTTTGCTCTTATTTTGTTTTGATTATTTATATTCGTATGTATACATCTCTTATTGGAATTTACGTTTACTCGTTTAACGTTTGTAGCAACTCGTTGCATATCTTTTGTTCCTTTTTGCCATTCAAAAACGTACGCAAAGTAACGTACATTTCACGTTGTGTGGTATATTTGGCACATCACACCAATTGCAAGACGTATGCAAAGTGTTAACATGCGCAAGCGAGAGCGTTAACTTTTCACAGAAGAACAACCACCAAAAGCGTATTGGAAGCAGCTCACACAATACAACGAGTATTTTTCTGCGAATTGGCGAACACTTTTCAAATTTACCGACGCGACGGCAAGAAGTCTCAATTTCCTCGGATTATTGCAATTAAGTCAATGATAATTTAGACACTTTTTCACGTTTGTAGGCATAGAATCTTTCATCCTGGTTCTGAAACTGTCACCCGGGGTAACTAAAATGAATTAAACGACAGGACGGCTGAATTTGTATTACAATTAAACGTTTTATTGAACAGCAAGGAAAAATACGTCTTCTCGCTTTCGTGGCTTGTAGCAAAAACTTCTCGTTCCAAGGTCTTCTTCTTATACATTCTTTCTTACAGTGTTGCATGCACCTGAAGGGTTGCATTTAAAATGTATGTCAGAAAATGTTACAAAAAGTTATAATATATTAATTATAAGGCACAACTATTCTTCTTGTGACACTATTGACTTACACATTTGCTTGATGTGTTACATGTTTTTAGGATTACTGCTTTTTGGATTGTGTGATGTGCTGTTTCGTCTACGTTGAGTACCTTAAGATTTTTTATGAGTGTTCTGTGTAAGAATCCCGTAGCTGATATTATGAAAAGTGCTATTTTAACTGTGTTCTGTTTCCATACACGCTTTATTTCTTGTGTAAGTTCGAGGTACTTTTCTATTTTTTCTATGCATTTTTTTTGCACGTTGGTGTTGGCTGGTGTGCTTATTTCGATGAGGTAAGTAATTTTTTGTGTTTTATATGTAAGTGTTATGTCCGGTCTATTGTTCAATATGGTTTTGTCCGAGTTTACTGTTCTATCCCAGTACTGTAGGGCTTTTTAGTTTTCTAAGATATTTTCAGGGATATCTTTTTTAGTATGTTGTACAGTTTTCTATGAGTTTGTGATTATTGGCTATTATTTGGTGTCTTATTTTTGCAAATGTGTTGTGTCTCTCTGCGTATTCAGTACCCGCCAGGAGTCTGCAGCCGGTCGTGTTGTTACCTATTGTTTCTGGGTAGGATTGGCATTTTTTGCCTCTGTAATCTATTGTATTCGGGTCTCGTAATATGTATTTTTGGTAGTTTTTGGTTGAGACTTGGTATTGAATGGCTATTAGAAATCCTTATGTTTCGGCGAAAAGTTCACCCTCTCTAGCCATGTGTAAGATCAAATTTTGTCTATATTTGGATCTTGCATTATGTGCATATGTTTGCCGTGTAAATGTTTTTGCAACCATGTGTTCTTTTTGTCTTCGTTGTATGTATGAGGTGGGATGTAGTTTCCTGTGATTTGTAAACTGTTTTCTGGTTAATACTTCAACGTTGCTAAGGTCTATGGTTGACCAGTTTATAATACCAAATGAACATGTTAGAATAGGTATAGCGAATGTGTTTAAGGCAAAAAATTAAAGTTATTTTTTGACTTTTATCATTTTGAGCAAATAATACTGATTATTTCTTCTTTTTATTTTTTTAAGGCAAAAATAAAAATGAGAATTTGCCTTTTATTTTTTTGAGCAGAAAATAATCGGTAATTGTTTACGTTCCATATATGAATTCGCCGCCGTTTTCTCTACTGCTAATGAGTAGTAGAGTATGACGTATATTCTCTACCAGTAGAGAAATAATCGGTAGAGAAGAGTTATAGAAACGAGCTACAGAGCTGTGTATATTCGAATGTGATAGTTTTGAAGCTCCTACATGGATTTTAATAACCTCTATACCCAAATACCAGGGTTAGTTCAAATCTATATACATATGTATACATACAATGCATGAAGGGAGATTTTGTTAACGGCATCAGATCTGCACCGATTATTCGATTTTCAAAACTGAGGTGCCAAATTAAAGGGCTTAGCCTCTAGATGTATGTACCATAAGGCACGCCTTTTTGAATAGGGTTGCCACCTTTTTTAAAATTATAAAATCTGCACCGTTCGTTGTATTAAAACCCAATAAGTGCCAAATGAAAGAGCTAGGCCTGTAGATGTGCAAGAAGATCTCAATTTTTTGAATAGGGTTGCCACCTTCTTCTAAAAAAAAAGAATTACACCGTTCGTTGTATTAAAACAGAAGAGGTGACAAATAGAAGGGCTGGGCCTGTATATGTGCAGGAAGGTTTCATTTTTTTGAATGGGGTTGCCACCTGCTTCTAAAATCATAAGATTTACACCGTTCGCGCAATTAAAAAAAAGGTGCCATGTAAACGGGCTTGATCTAAAAGATTTGCAAGAAAGAAAGTTATTTTTTGAAAAGTGTTGCCGCCTAATGAACGATGAGCTGTATGAGCTTTACAACGACATGGACGCAGCGCTGCGAATTAAAATACAGCGGCTCCGCTGGCTTGGCCATGTCGTTCGAATAGACACCGACGCTCCAGCTCTGAAAGTATTCAACTCGGAACCCGCTGGTGGTAACAGAGGCAGAGGGAGGCCCCCACTGCGATGGAAAGATCAGGTGGAGAAGGACCTTGGTTCACTTGGCGTTTCCTATTACGTCAGTTGGCACAGAGGAGAAACGACTGGCATGCTTTGCTGAACTCGGCCAAAATCGCTTAGCCGGTTAGAGCGCCAAAAGTGAAGAAGAAGAAGTTGACGCCTAATAAATTTTTATTTTTGGGAAGAGCATCAGATTTACACCGTGCTGTCGCGTTTCTAAATGAGATGTCAGAAGAAAAATATAGACTTACAGACCTGTTTTGGTTTTTTAAAGGGTTGCCGCCTAATTAAAAATGCATTGTTTAAATATGATAGTCAGTAAAAGGTCACAATATGGGCATCAAGCGAAAGGGGTTTGAGACTAAATTAATCTGTTGGTGTTTTTAATAGATTTCCACCAATTAAACAAATTTATAACAATGAATGTGTAAGTAATGTATTAAGGACATTCGATATTGCTATCAAACGAAAGCTGGTTAAGAGGGCTTTTGTGTAATTGTATGCGAATTTTGGATGGTTGTCATATAGTCTCTAATTTATTGATTGAAATATTCTAGTTAATTAGAATGTTACAAAGTGGGCTTCAAACGAAAAGATTTTAAACTAAATTAATATGATCGTGCTTTTAATATACATATGTAGTTGCCACCAACTTAATAAAATGGTGCACGTATTGAAATAATATTTAAAGATATCTAATATCGGTATCAAACGAAAGGAAGTTAGGTGAGCTTGTGCGATATTTATTTAAAAAGTTTATAACTATGAACGGTAAGTAATTTATTATTGATATCCAATTATATATCAAACGAAAAGGAAAAGAAGTGATGTTTTATAAAGATATATTTGTTCTAGGGTTGCCACTTAGTTAAAAATTTACTGAAAGTAAACGATATTGATCATTAAATAGTTATTTATATTACGATACATACAAGTTTTTGGAAAAATAAGAAAATATATATAGGTTACATACATACAGAAGTAAGAATTGTTCGAATGTTGCCACTTAGTTAAAAATTTATATTAACATTCATGCAAGTTTTTGGAAAAAAAAATAAAAAATAAACCGACACTTGCAATCAGCTAATTAAGTCATCAACATTTTTAACAATTTTGGTCTTTTTGTTTTGCTTATTTAATGTTTATTTTTCCATAAAAGTCTAGTTCATTATATAACAAACACCATATAAATCCACATTTCAAACCATGTACAAAAATTACAAAAATTACAAAAAATGTGAAAATTTCAGCTAAATTTTCAACTTTTTGTTCAGATTTTTTTATACCCGAGCGCACTTGTGCACAAGGGTATATTAATTTTGTTCACATAACGGTTGTTTGTAACAGCCAAAACGAATCGAGATAGATATAGACAAATGTATACATAAATGATCAGGATGAAAAAAGAAATCGATTAAGCCATGTCTGTCTGTCCGTCCGTCCGTCCGTCTGTCCGTCTGTCCGTCTGTCCGTCTGTCCGTGTACACGATAACTCGAGCAAAAATTGAGATATCTCAACGAAATTTGGTATGTAGGTTTCCCTTAATCCAAGGTAGGTTGGTATTGAAAATGGGCGAAATCGGACTTTAACCACGCCCACTTCCCATATAACGGTAATTTCCAGAAATACGAAAACTGCGATATTTTAGTAACTACTAAAGATAATTCACTCAAAATTGATATTTATAATAATTTTTCGACGAAAAATAAGAATATTATAAATTTTTGGAAAATGGGCGTAGCCACGCCCACTTATGGATATATGTGTATATCTTGGTAACCGCTGCACCAATTTCTTCCAAACTTGACATAGTTATTGGCCTTGGTACAACATACCAAATTTTTAAAATCGGACAATAACCACGCTCACATCCCATATAGCGGTAATTTAGAGAAATACCAAATCTTCGATAAATCAGTAAATATTAAAGCCAATTTATTCAAAATTGATGTTTGCAACGATTCTTTACCAAGAAATACGTTTATGATAAAATTTTGGAAAATGGGCGTTGCACCGCCCACTTATGATCACATATATGTATCTCAGTAACCGTTATACCAATTTGTACCAAACTCGGTATGATTATTGTGCTTGCCACATAAAAGCAAAATGTTGAAAATTATTGAAATCGGTCTAAATTTACGGTCGCTTTTCATATAACGGTAAATTTGAGAAATGCATGAAACTTCAATATTTCGAAATTTAAGGACGCTCATTTACTCAAAATTGATACACCCCGACTTACCATATAGCGGTAGCTTTTGGAAAGGTGAAAATCATATATTTAATATTTGCGCCGGGTATTTAATGTTCGGCTCCGCCCGAACTTAGACTTTCTTACTTGTTTTTTGTTCAATACCACACTCAAACGAAGCAACTGAGAGGATCTTATGTATAGAGTTTGCTTCCTGGCGCCAAGAGAGAAACCGGGTTCTAATTAAAAATTTGTTTAAAGTTAACTTCATATTAAAAGTAATTTTAAAATTAAATATATATTATTCTTTGACTATTTAAACACTGAAGACGGAAATGATCTCTTTATTGCTATTCAAAAATGTCATAAATATAAAATACTGCGTACAATGATGTGTACACTCAGGTTAAAATGAATACCACTTTTATTTTTTATAAACTATATTTTATTTATATACCAAAATATTGTTAAAAACAACTAATCTGGCGTTTTAAAGTATTATCTGATACTTACATTCATAATATTACTTTGAATAAAAATGTATGAAAAGTACTGATTTTCTTAGCATGAAAAAGTCTAACGTACTGATTTTGCGCATAAAAAATTTGCAACCCTATGTTTCATAGAGTGTATTAGATAGGGGGTTGAGGTAGACACAGAACCAGAGTGCACTTAATAAATATTCCTCTTCGTATTAGTATTTGTTGTTAGGAGTCATTAGGCTTATATTGGTTTTCCATCTCCGCATGGTATGCTTTAGAAAATGTATGTATGTAGTTTGGGTGGATTTTATATATTTCTAAGACTCTTACCAGCCAACTGAGGTACAGAATCAAAGGCTTTTTGGTGGTCTATGTAGCACGAGTGTAAGTTTCGCTGCTGTGTTGTCGCTTGTTTCATTATCACCGCATCTACGAATAGCTATTCTCTGCATCATCTACTATGTTTTGTAATCTTTTTTGCTTTACAAATGTACACTTACAATAAGTTTTTCATTAAAAACGGCCTCAAGTTCAATAAAAATTGTTGAATATAATTGCTATAAGGCCATTAAATAACAAAAACAAATAACTTAAGGACGAGCACACTTAAAAGTTAAACATTCTAAAAAATAGAATTATTAACAGAAACCAACAAAACCAACAACCAAATGATGAAGTCTGAATTGCAGCGGAATAGCTGCGCTTGTTTGTGTTGGCTTAACAAATGAAAAAGTAGGAAAAAAGCAACGATAACTTACAAGGCGAACTAAGCACAGTGCGTAGTCAACTGGCTGAGTCAGTGGGATCGTCGGTTCGAATCCTACTGAAAGAAGTCTGATGAGGAAATGTGGTGATTTCCGAAATAGCTATCACTTCTACCATTTTTTAAAATTATTGTTGCCTTTCCATAATAAACTTGTCTTTAAAAACGGCCTCAAACTCATTAAAAATTGTTGAATATAATTGTTATAAGGCCATAAAATAACAAAAACAAATAAAATTATTATTAGAAATGAAAAACATTAATTTTATTAGATTTTAAAGAAAATTCAAAAGATCCCTTTAGCCAAATTTTCAAAATCTGGTTTTACGTCAGTTAAAGCCGTTCGTAACAGAACGAAATTTACGGGGGCATACAAAAAAAAAAATCAAAACTAATAACTTACTTACTAAAAAATTGTTTATTATAGCTTAAAATTATTGTAACCAATAGAGGTAAATATGTTGTACAAAAACACATAAACAGAAGTTCACAAAAGTTTATATAAAACTATTCGTCGATTTAAATTGTTAACCTTTTACTGAGCATGTTTATTTTACGAGGAG